ATATATATATATGTTTGTGGTTTAATGGACAAACATGAAGCTTCGCTGAAGAACTACTCTCGTTCAGAGGTCTAATATCTGGACAGCCTTCTGTTATGGTTATCAATGAGCTTCATGTGTGTCATTGTTTTTAATAAAACGACCACATGTCATATACTGCAGCTATGAACACATGACAACAGGCTGACAGCAGCTCACCTGTCTGATCCTTTGATGGCGGTGTTAGATTTGACACGAAACTGTCTCGCGAACATCTTCTCAGGAAATAAACAACTCCTGCGACGAATTCAGCATTTCCGCTTTTTGATATAATGATAAACGCCTCTGCAACGTCGCGAGAGCCTAAGAAATGTATTATATTGGTTTTACAGTAAACAACTATCGCTCGCTGGGTATGGTGGTCCGACACATATTTATGTCCGACGTGAAACTGTACGCGTCAACGTTAGTTCCGCAGGCCGAACGAAGCACACGGATGGATGGAGTGAGCGGAAGTGGTCATCGTATGACGCTTACTCATTATCTGAGTGATTAAATGACCTTTATATTTGCAGACTTGACATTTTGAAAGGATATCGACCAGTTTAGGGCCCGAAACCATATTCATACACTGTTCCATATTAACGCTGGCAGGATGGAAGGGGAAGGAGACACATGTTGCCAACAACAGCATGGAGTTTAGTGAGGAAGAGAGAAACTGTAGCTATGAGAGGAGGGAGAGTGAGTGGGAGGATGTGGTGAGAGGGAGTAGATCAAGTAAGGGCGCTGGGCGTCCCAATACCCTTATACTACCATACTATTCAGTATGCCACGATGACTACGTCCACTTCTTATAGTCTATAGTTATGAGTAAGTAGTATGTCTCAATTGAATGCGTACAGCATGCAACAATACGTACTTTGTAAGGGCAGCTGCAGTACGTACTAAGTAAAAAGAAACAGTATGCAATGTATTAGCTATAGTCGGTCTATATAGGTCCGTTATGTAATGCCATTGGGCCCCAAAAATAGTTTTTACCACAGATTTACATTTGGGAAAGAGAAGTCTGTAAATCAGTGGATCATTTATTTTGGAGGTACATCAACTTCCCTGTGTGAACACTTAATACCCCTTATCGTAGCTGCACAGTATTTTCTTTTTTTTTGCAGGCTTATTCATTAATTTGCAGCTTCATCCATACTTGCACATGCCAAACCGACAGCAGACATTCTGACTTCCTTTTAATTCGTTTTTGGCAGGAATTGGTGCACGAAACGGCAAAACCGTGGGGTGCTGTCTTGTGTGAATATACAGTATATGTTACAATTATTCAATTGGGAAACCAAAAAGAATTGTATGTTCCATTAAATAGTAATCATTATGGAATTTTATGTGAATAAACCTCCACATAAATTATCAAAGAAATCACAATTTGGACCTTCACAGTAAAAAAACTTAAACATTTAAAATGCAAAAGACAAAAAGAGGGCTCACCAAGTCTACTTTCTCCAGGGATATGTTTTGCTACTCTTGACTGATTCAAGTAGTCCTTTCTCACTTTGCACATCCAGAGAGAAGTCCTTAAATGACAGAACACAGTTCACAGATATCTGAAGTCCATTTTTATTGATGAGCTCTGTGCTGCATCTGTTTCTTGACTCTGACCATTTATTGGTCATCGTTGGCATCGTCTGCTGCATATTCTGTCATGTGACTTATATCCAATTCATGCTTTTCCAGAACGTGCATCAGAGCTTGATGTATGCCATTTGCTGTTTCATTACTGTCTTAATAAAAGTGAAATAACTTAGTCTGCACGCCATCAGACACAGATACATATCTCACGCACACTGGAAACACTTCTTTCCAAAATATCCAGTGTCTTTGGTCCTAAAACATTCATTCAATTATCTCAGCTTGCATCTTCTTCACAACATCTCAATCCAGATGGAAGTTGTGAGGGCTGAATTTGCTGAATTTTGTTCCCTGTCCGACCCTGAATATATGTATAATAATGCCCTACATTTGGGTAAAGGGCAAGTTGTTTGTCGTTTATGGAAATGTAATCCATAGTGTATCAAGTTTTATTAAATGTAATAAAACTGTAATAAACAGCTGAGACCGGGTTAAAAGTACTTTGAATAAATTTGTGTTCTGAGGTACAATTTTGAGGTACTTCTACTTCACTTGAGTATTTCCATTTTATGCAACCTTATACTTCTACAGAAGAAGGACCATTTGTGCACACAACCAGGCAAAACTACTCAGGTGCAAGATAAAAAGAAGATCAAAACTTTGCCTTACTAGAGAAAGAGGAATAAACTATTTGGAACATTAACTGTGTGCAGATCTCTTTTGTTCCCTACTTTTTTTACTCTTCTTTATTCTTTATTGTTAAATAGTAATATTGCTACTTTTACTGGGGGAAAAGATCTGAATACTTCGTCTAGAGACGTATACCATGTCTCTTCGTTACTCCTCCACATTCCAAATCCAGTAACTTCCGTTCATTGGCTGCAAAAAAACCCCAACATGACGACAGCCGTAATCCAAGATGGCTTTGGCAAAATCCACTTCCTACATACAGTCTATGGAGGCAACAAGGAGAAAGTAAGGATCAACAAAATGGGAGTATTTAGTACGGAAGTTAGCATGCTACAACTGTCGCAGTAGCAACGGTAAATAACAATGGCCGCCGCTCTGACCATCCTGCTACATTGATTTGAATGGGAATGTCCGTTCTACTCCTCTTCTATTTCTATATACTTACGTATGGCGGGACTGAGGAAGTTGTTGATGTTATTTGCTAATAAAATATGAGAAGAAGGAAGAATCCCAGAGAGCTGGAAGGAAGTGACAATTATTCCAACAAGGAAACCTTTGAAGAATGCCAGCAAGCCAATAAACCACAGGCCTATTTTGATGTTACGGACGGTCAGTGAGAGGCTACTGTATGTCTGGGAGAAGAGTGGTATGGTGACAGCATATTAAAGTGGATTTAAGAGTGGAATGGGCACTATGGATCCAGTGGTATGTATGATGGATGAGATTAGAAAACTTCAGGCAAATAAAGAGACAGTGGCGGCAGTGTTGTGTTTAAGTGGAAAAAGCATATGACATGTGAGGGTGGATGAGATGACTTTCTGAGGACTTTCTGAGATGAAGATCCGTCCATGTTGAGTTAGGGTCAGAACTGTCACGCAAACATGTTGTAGAGCTTGGAAACACTTCAAGGGAGAATAGAACAAGCAGAACGGACATTCCCATTCATATCAACGGAGCACGACGGTCAGAGCAGCGGCCATTTTTATGTGTAGCGCGCTAGCGGGCTAACTTCCCTATAAACTAAACTGACTTACGACGAGTCACAGTTTTGCAGTAATCACTAAAAAAGCAGAGTCACATTTAACAACTTAATACTTAATCCACACACTTATTCCACACAGCGTAGGAAAAGCACATTGTTATCGCCAGATGAGTGACAACTTTGTTCGGCTTATTGTCTGTAACCAGTGTAGCATTAAAGCATGGTGGAATTAGCTAGTTAGCTGGCTTGCTGAGGGTCGAACAGTCCCTACGCCTCACTCCCAGCTGCTCTTGAGAAGGACAAGCTAACTAGCTAACTAGTCCGCTTTCTTCCCAGCGAGCTGCAACTACACTTTATGGCCCCACTGACGTGAGTTATCACCATTAACAACAATAGCCATTTTCCTTTGTACTTGTCAAATAAATAATGTTAAGAAAATATAAGATAAGTGTGGGTGATTTAATTGTAATACAATTGGTTGTATAGAAATGAATGGTGATTATAGGGCCAAATAGTCAGACCCACAAAGAATGGTGAACAAAACAGGGTCAGGTGGGTTGCCGACATCGCCGCAGACCACTGACGCACCGAGGACAGCCCGCCTAGTGACCAGGTCTCTCCGCAGAGAGCGAAGGCGAGGTCTGGCGAGATCTGGCGAGGTCCAGGTCTACACAGTCTAGGTAAAATAATGGGAAACACTGTCTGACACAGAAAATCTCCTGTTTGTGTGCTTTGTGAAAGGACAACTACGGATGTTCAGACATGATTCTTGAGTTCATAAGAGAAAATGGCACAAAAGACAGAGAATTACATTTTTTATTAATATGCTACATACGACGCGGCCAGATATATCAAAAAGTGGAGATGCAAAAACACAATTGATCCCCCGGGAATAATAGTCGGGGTGCAGCTGCTCCCCCTACCTCCATTGCTCAGGCGCCTATCCATTATTTCTTGATTATATCTTCAGGAAAATGGTAGATTCATTCAAAATCATGAACAAAAAAAAGAAATGAATCAAATTGATACAAGATGTCATGCCCTAAAGGAGGACAGCAAGAGCTCGTCCTCCTCTGTCCTGCAGGTGTCGCTGTTTGACCCTTTAAACAGTTTAAAATAATGTTTTTGTCCAAAGAAAGACAGAAAATATTTTATAAATGATACTGGGATTTGTAAATTGGTTTATTTCAACCAATTAGCCTACTATGTACATAAATATATATATTTTGATCTCCCTCTTGCCTCTAAAAAATAGAGGAGGAGCTTTCCCTGGGTACTATGAGATGCTGCTTTCAAGTCCACCATTTTAGCCCGGAAGTTTGGCGATTCGTTTATCCCGTGTTTGATTAATTGTGTTCATTCAGTGATTTGTGATTTGCACACTGGGACAAGTTGTTCCAGCAGCCAGTCGAGAATGTCTCACATCAAAGCAGACTTTCCCGGCCAGTCACTTGTCCGCTGGTGGAGGAACTTAGTCCCGACTAATGTCTCACAGGGACAACAACATGAGCTGCGGCTGGGACATTTAACCAGACACGTCCCGCAGTGAGCAGACGGTGACACGCACCTGTCGGAGCGGGTTGTTGCCACTCATATGTTGCCGATAGTTAAAGCATGTCGAATCAGCTCCAGCCGGCTCTCCCGAGCCAACAGCAGCAGCAGCAGCAGCAGCAGCAGCCCAAACTGATCTCCGCTCCTTTCCCACAGTGCTTTGTGAACCCGTTTAACAACCCTCTTCAGATCAGAAGGAATGTAATAACAGACGATTACAGTGTAACCAGCCAGGTGCTCGGGATGGGGATAAATGGCAGAGTGCTGGAAGTATTCCACAGAGAGAGTGGAGAAAAGTTTGCACTTAAGGTACTGTTATCTTAATCCTGTTAAATTAATTTTAAATTGATGGCTATAATAAGAGGACAATGCACGCTTTCTGAGCTCGTGTTTTTTTATTTTGTTATTGTGGCTATTTAATAAGAAATATGTAGTCCATTGACTTAGTCTAGAAGGAGAGTTTCGATACCATTATAATTGAATATTTGCTAGTCGCCTAAAGAAAGCAGAACATACCTGTATTCACTAGATAAACTCTTGTCTAGTCATAGTGATATATATATATTTAATATTGATCAGACGATAGATGTTGTTTTTGTTTGTGGCTCTCAGCATGTGTCAGAGGTGATGAGCTCATCTTTGACACTTGAACCAGTCTTATCACCTCAATGGCTATTGCACAGTCCGACACTAGAAAAGACTCCGTGCATGTCTTAATAACACAAAGTATTTCTGTATAATCATGTTCATGTTGCGTGTATTTGTTTTCATTTATTCCTTATATAGACAGATGAAGCTTCCAAGGGGATTTTTGGAGAACATTGTGCTACTTTTAGCGTTAAAGTCATAGCAAAGTAAAAATCCAGCAGTTTGCAATAGATCACACAGACTTGAATTTAATCTTCATTTACATTCTTTGGATTTACAAAACAGCATTGTGCACTCAATCAAATGAATATACCCTCGCATGCACGCATCATTTCCAGTGATTCCTGGGGCCTCTGTCTCTCCAGTTGCTTGTTATCTACACTTCCTCCGATCAGATCTTAACTTTTCCGAGTAAGCCGCTGAAACTTGTTTTTCATTATTAGTGCGTGGAGAACAGGATCAGAGCCTGGCCCATGATGACTGTCGTGCGATGAGGTTGTCTGTCCTCTTGTCACCTTCTCAGTCAAAGAAAGTGCAGTCAAGAAAAGTTTGCTCGGGATGTGTTATGTCAAGCGAGCTGAAAGTTTAACGGAACAGAACTTTTATCACTTTTCTCTCACACACACACTTGGTTCCTCTCCTCGGCTCGGTACGGACCATCTTCTAAATCTCAGTTTCAGCCCGCAGGGGGAGATCAATACATTATCGCACCGCATTCCTCTGGACGAAGGCAAAAAAGATGAAGCGCCTGTGAGTAATTGTATTTTGAATTTAGGAGAGTTCAAGAGGTTAGATGTGAGTTATAGATTTTTATGGGAACTTGTAATTTAAGGGCTTTGTACACAACAGATGGATTTGTGAGAGTCTAATTTATGTTCCAAAGTTTGTAAATTACATATAATGTCCAGCAGCTCTGGCCTCTCTGACCTACCATGTTGAGCTGTCTGTGTTTTGAAAGACGAGTGTTGACAGCCAGAAGGAGAGAGGGGAACATGCCTGTGTCTAAAAGTAGCCTCCTGCGAGAGGCCTGAGATGGCTGAGAGATGATGACGTCTGGTCATCATCTCCTTCTCAGTAGTGAAGGAGTTTTGAGAGTAAACAAGACGGAGAAACTAACGTACCAATCCTTTTCCTGACCTTTGTTTTTAACAAGTATGTGATTTTGAGATCACCCAAATATGGTCTTTTTATTGAAAAGAAAAATCACTTTTATTTAGTTCTAGCATGTTCGGACTGAAGACAATTACAGAGACCTTTATATTCCTTTAAGATGAAAGAGACGGGATTGGGAGCATCTCGATTCCCTCCCACCAAGGCGACGGCGAGCTGGCGGCACACAGCCGACGGTGCTAACAGCGCTAACAGCGCTAACAGTGCAAAGAACCGCGAGAGAACCGTGTTTATCTGACAGAACCGTGTTTATCTGACAGAACCGTGTTTATCTGAGTGGGAACCGGAGGATGGGTGCTGAGATTACCCTGAAGACGCCGTCGTTCGTGAGGACGTTATCAGCTGTAACCGCCATATGAGAGCAGTGCAGAGCAGCGACTGTGAGCAAAACAGTAAAGCAGGCTAACATGCACTCAAAGCATCGGTTTGTCTGTTCCGGGCTACTGTAGAAACATTGCGGCCGGCTCTGTGAAGAAGAATGGCTGCGGTCGAAAAGTCCAAAAATGACCTCCTAACGTCTATTCCTAACCACTTTTCCTTGACCTATGGAAAACATCATGGGGTCAAGGAAAGATTGAAGGAGAATTCGTCTCTACTTCCACTAAGCTACTTAATTATGATGCAACGGCGGATTTCACTGACGTAGTTCTGCCAATGAAACTACAACGAAGAAGGACTACGAAAAGCACAACTACAACATGTCATGATGTAATCTATTACTCACAAGCATTCAGGCTATATAAAGAGCTCCTCTTGTGAGAGGCTGCTTCCCTCGTGGTGTGAAGGACAGAAACCGGAGCTCCTTCCCTCCTGCTGCTGTCACACTTAACAATCAACGCTGCTGCAGTAGAAACAGACAATTCACTCTTGTACAACATCAATGAAACTGTAAAATATCAATATTTCCTTTGTGCAATAATGTAGATTCAACGGTTCGTTTATATTGAGCTTTTTAACAGTTTAATAATCTATCATAGGCTTAGCTTGTTTTGTTTTTTACGGATGGTTCTTGTTATTGAGAACGAGAATTTGTTCATTGACAGTTTGCTATATTTACTGTATATATATTTATATTTTTTTTACTCATTTGTTCAAAGTAAATATATACATATAGAATGAAACAAACGGATTGTCGCTGTCGATTCATATTCATCAACATGAATCCGATTACTTTTTGACTGTATGAGTATGATTGTTAGACCTGTAACATAAGCATATTGTTTGTTTTCAGGGACGGCCGAATGCTGCGTCACTTTAAATGTGCCGCCGCAAGGAATTATGGGGCGGAATTATCTACTTTCCTTTGGTAAAGGAAGGTCCAGTGTTTCCTATGCTAAAGGGGCTAATAAAGGAAGCATTGAAGCACCTTTCCTTTCGCATTTAGAGAATTCGAACAGCTCTGATCATGGCGGCCACTTGGACTCACTGTTCCTTTAAAGTAGACACACAAGAAGCGCCAGTGATCAAAGCATAAATTAAGTAGTTAAACATCCAGTTACAGGTGTCTTCCTACTCCGATTCTTTGGACATCGGTAAACCATCATCCTCTTAGATCCTCGCACTGACATGTCTCATGTCTGAGGTCTTGTGATAGCAGTGCATCTTGTGTGGGAGCATATCATCCTGATATACGTATGTGAGACAGAAAAAGACCACAGTAACTCAGACCGAGGACCTCTGAAAGAGTCCGTTACAGAAGATTGTGAAACTGACATCCTACAAATTTAAATCATGAAAATACCACAGAGGAATGCAGCTGAAATTCACAACACTTGTGAAAGAAGGAAATGCATCTTGTTATCAGTATTCTGTTGAGCCCAACGTATCATAAATACCCCTCTCACAGTTAATTGCCCTGACAGGTAATTGCCTTGAATGTATGCACTCTCTATTGGCACGGTTGGTAATCTTCTTCAAAGCGTCTCTATTTGCAACCGAGGCAAAGCCTTCCTGCAGTAACATTTATCTTCACAGGGGAAATGCCTGAGCCCTATAATTGCTTTTAAAAAACTACTTAGAATTGTATTTTTCCTTTTGCGAAATTCAAACCAAAACATGACCTTATTAAACCAAGAGCAGGTTCACGTGACTGTGTTTGAAAGTAACACGTCTTCCCGCTTCGTGTCTTTCAGATGCTGCAGGATTGTCCAGAGGCCAGACGGGAGGTGGAGCTCCACTGGAAGGTGTCACCTTGCCCCCACATTGTGCCCATCATCGATGTTTATGAGAATCTCTACCACGGCAGGAAGTGCCTCCTCATCATAATGGAGTGGTGTGTTCTCCTGCACGCGCACACACACACACACACACACACACACACACACACAAATCCAGAGCCAACACAGTATGTGTGGTCTTACAACATAGTTGCATAATGTAAGCTTCGTTAATCCGCACCAACTCACCAACTGAGGGGAGAAAGTTTCAAAACGCTTCAGGGTGCAAAGTAATGAAAAGCAGTCAGAGGCAGCTTTGTGTAAAACAAAACCACGCAGGTGTCCACTTGATCTACAGCCAACTCATATGTTACAAAATAAAATAAAATGCTCTCAAAGCTGGACAGGATGTGATTAATGTTGTGTCATAATTCAATCCTGACCCAGAACAACAGTGACTAATAATGACTGTGTGTTTAGTGAGGGATGTTTCCAGCTGTTTTACTCTACCTAAAGAATGAATTGGCAGTGTCTTGCTTTGACGAAAATAATTTCAGTGTAACAGCTTTTTTTTTTAAAGCTTAAAACATTTTATTTTTTTTGGCAAGTAAAGGATCATAAAACTAGGCAAAGTAACCCGCTCTAAAATGAAAATAACGTAAAATACGTAAGCGCCCGAGATCAGGCAAAGAATAAGGTGAATACAGTTTATCCCCCGACATACAAAATAACTTTTAATCATGCCGCCTTGGAGGAGGCAAAGCCATCTTGTGCAACCCTTGGTCCAGAGTATTTACTTTGGGAGTCTGTAACATCTCCAAGGTCCTCATCTTAACCTCCAGACACTGACAGCGACATAAAGCATTCCAAGTTTGAAGGACTTAAACAGGCCTCTAAGGTTGATCTCCATGAAAGCAACAATGATTTTTCATTCACAAGTTAGTAAAAATTTGCCTCTTGGACAGCCTTGTGGATCATTTGTGACCTTCTTGCAGGAGAAAGTATTTCATTGAGGAGTAAAAGAACTGACATGCCCCAATGCCTTTACCGATTTATTACACGATATTTATGTTTTGTTTTTGTTTTTTCAGTATGGATGGAGGTGAATTATTCTGTCACATTCAAGACAGAGGGAATCACGCATTTACAGAAAGAGGTAAAGAGATTATCATTTCTCAAGCAAGACCAAGTTACAATCCTTAAGATTTCTGACCTGGTTGGTACCAGTTGGTAACTGTGGTTTGATGCAACACGACCCAGGATTATTGGGGCAGTCAATACTTGACCTTTTTCCTTTCATGGCGTGTTTATTGGTGCACACAGTGTGAATACTTTTGCACCGAACAGCAACCAGTAAAAGGAGCCTTACTGAAGAGTGCAGCCTGTGACGGCTCACTGTGGCTTGCTATCAAAAAATATTATTTACAAAACATGTTAATGAGATTTGAACAATCAGCATCATCAGTGGCCAAATCTCAGGTGAACCAGGTACAAATCTAAAGGATTTTAACTTTGAACAATTACTAAATGTGCTGCTGAATGTAAAATTTAATCTGCATCTCTCTGTTTGTACTCCGGCGTGTCCATGTCATCTCTCTTCACTTCCCTTTTCACTCAGAGGCCTCTGACATCATGAAAAGTATAGGGGAAGCCATACATTTCTTGCATTCCATCAACATCGCCCACAGAGACATCAAGGTAATGTTAAAGTTGTGTATGTTAAAGACAACACTTGTAACATGAGATCACTCTTAACTCAATAAAAGCTGTGGGTTTGTTGTTATTGTGCTCTCATGCCACTGACAATTATGCATCCTGTCAAAGTATTTGATGATCAGCAGTGAGTAAATTCCTCTCGGCTGAAATAATCACACTAGACAGTCCTTAATGGAAAACCCACTATTGTTTCCATGAACAAGTCCAACAATGGAAGCTTTTCCTTCAACGATTTTTCTTTATTTGGTCACTGAGCTCCATTTCTACTTTTTATTTTCTGCTGTACACTCTTAGAAATAAAGGTGATAAGGGTTCTCCGGCTTGTCATCATAGGAGAATCATTTTTGGTTCCTGGTTGGACCTTTTTATAAAGGTTCCACCTGGAACCCGTTTAGAGGGTTGTACCTAGAATTCAACATGAAGGATTATACCTAGAACTATCTTTGAAAGTTTCCACCCAGAACCTCCAATGAGAGGTGCTGTCTATGGCGTAATGGTTCCATCTAGAACTCTCTGGAGGTTCTATCATTTCCACCTTTTAACGGCTAACCAGGGGTTTTCTACCTCCAAGGGTTTCATCTAGAACCCACACAGAGGGTTCTATCGAGAGCCTTTTCTATTTCAAGGGTTTAATCTACAACCCACCCTATGATTCTCTCGGGATCATTGTATGTTCCAAGGGTTTCATCTCGAACTTGCCCAAAAAGTTCTATCGGGATCATTGTATGTTCCAAGGGTTCCATCTAGACCCTTTTATATTCCAAGGGCTGATGTGGAACCCGTAGTCTCAAAGAACGCATGAAAACTACTTTGCTCAAAAAAAGGTTCTTCTGCAGCAAATGGTTCTGGGTAGAAATTCAGCCCTTCAGCAAGAACCGGTTTGGAACCCTTATTTCTGAGAGTGTAGCATAAAGGCACATAACAAGTGCAGTTTTACAAAACAGAACCGTATATAGTGTTTATGATCTTGGGACCTATTAGGCCTATTGTTACATACGTAATTGGACATGATATATTTCATTAATTAGATTAATAACTGAAGAACACATTGATAGTGAGAGTCCAGCATGCATCCTCTTCTCACTCCTGCATAATTTGCCTAAAACGCCTATCAACCGCGTGCCCAAAGTAAACTGACAGCTCTTATTGAACCATTGGCAGTACATGTATGGTTTTAGTCTTTATTGAACGGCAACACTCTGAAGTTTCTTCATAATCAGTCAGAATCACTGTAAGTGCTACTAGCATTGAGCTAATGCGTTTTCAGCACAGTGAAAGAGAAGCATTTTACTTCCGCCTAGATTTGTTTTGGCCAACAGATGATGGCAGCAGCTATCTATGGCTGGGACTTACAGGCTTGAAAAGACTCTCATTCGACAGCCAACAGTCATGACGCCTAGTATAAGTTAAAATTTGATAACAATACGACAGAAAGTTTATATTTTACACGTGGTTTACTAAGAGTGCGGCTGCATAAAAACGCATTTGGAGGCTCGCATCACCACGTCAAAATTGGAGGATCGCGTCACCACGCATATACTACGATAAATTACATGTCCGAAATTCGAACTACAGTTTATTTATGTTAATATATGGTTCGCTATATCATATCAACTTTCACAGATTCTTGAAAATTCTCATGAACCAGACTTTAGTCTTCACACTCTGTCCCAGGAACTTGACTCATGGTTTCCAGTTCAGGTTAGAAAACTTTCCCAGCATTCAATCTGATAAATCTGCATATCCCTGGCTTCGTAATTTCATTGGCTATGTGGAGCCTGAGTTTGAACAGGATCTGTTGCGATTGGCTCGAGCTATACCCAAAGAAGAGAGGCGGGCATTGTCTTTCAAAGCGGACTCTCATTGGCTGTTCCAGACTGTGGCCGGGCTATAGAAGCTCCTATTGGGTCAAATGAGGTGTCAATCTAACCGGCGGAATGTAGGCTCCATTTTGTGATGAAAATCTCCGCTCTGTTGACACGGAACGTGAAGTTATTCCGAAATATGATCGCGAGTTATCATATCTGCTGGCTAATTTGAAATGATGCAACAGCCCCCCGTGGGTCTTTATGGACGTACTAATGTGTTTTGGACTAAATCTTTTACTGGATTCGATCGAGTGGACCCTTAGCCACCTAGCAAGACCGTTTTTGCTGGACTAGCATGCATGAGGGGGACGTTATGGATCATAATCGGTGAGTCACGGCGATATTTTATCGGCTATTTTTGGAGTGCTTGTTTGACAGAGACGTTAACTGTCCCTGCTGTTGTTATTGTATCTTGAAATGGTTTGCATAAATCGAATTACAAGAACCGTAGCTTTCTAATGAGATATCACATTAATACTCATCGTTACAGGGCAGTTGTGTGCATAACACAAATATGCAGTTATCACTCTGACGGCCCGCAGGAGGTTTGCCTCTTGAGTGGAGTCACCAGATGAGATATTGAAAATGTCTTATGTGTTAAATTAAGAGAGTCAGGAACCACGAGACAGAGAAGGGAATAACATGCTACAGAGCACCCTGGACAGACTGAACTGCAGACTTGATAGTTCAAAGTTTTGCCTGGTTTTGCCACCAGAAAAGCTGCAAAATGAGAGAAATGAGAATATTTGCAGCATCTTTAATATCCGACCTCCTCGGCTTCAATGGGCTTCTGTGCCTGTTTCTTTATCGGAGATTAAAGACAAAACTGAACATTTTAAACTTAATTTGTGGTAACGTTTGTTACCATGAAAGACATGGAGACATGTGCATTTAAATTAGCTATTTATCGTATTTCTATTTTCCTTTGTTTGTGGTTGATGACCATGTATTCTCTTTCAGCCAGAGAACCTGCTGTACACCTCCAAAAGGCCAGATGCTCTCCTCAAGCTGACGGACTTTGGGTTTGCCAAAGAAATCACCACCTTAAACTCTTTAGCGACACCTTGTTTTACCCCCTACTATGTTGGTAAGACGCCACATGTGACATGTGAAAGTTACGTCATCAGGTTAAAGATACACTTCAGGAATTTTTGTTTTATTGTCAAAAAGGAGTTAAGTGTTATAAATATCTAGGAAACATTTAACTCACATGACTTATCAGCTGTTTCTGCTGTCTGCGTCTTCCTGGATGTATATTTATATCGTCTTTGTCTGCAGACAACATGAAACATGGCCAATAGCTGACATGAAAGAACAATGTAAACCAACTGAAACAAATACCTGAAGACCTCTCTCCATTCTTCTCTTGTAGATGGTTAGTCGGCCAAGACGACTTGTTTTGTTTCCGGTTCCCAACCTCTACTTCTTCTTCTACTCTGTTTACTGTCGGATTACATGCGTAATGCAAACTATTTAAAGTTTGATTTGCTCCCAACCAGTTGATAGAAAGCGCCTAGTTCCCATTTCTTTTCATGCAACATTTCAAAAGTTCCCATGAAATTCACTCGAATGGAAAAAGCGCTATTGATCTGTGTGAGTTCCTGTGAGATGATGCCTCCCCTGATGTAACAGCCTCTTTGTGGAGTGTTTTCCCCTCGGGGGGGGAATTTAATGGTTTGCTTCTTTTGGAAAATGGGCAGGACTCGTGCGAGTAATGAGAAGTTACATCCCGTGAACTGGTTGTAAAAACACTGAATACACCGCGTTTATGACGTGGTTTTGATTGTAGAAAGGCATTAAATGTGAAACAGAAGCGATTCCTCGACATTGAAAGCATTTCTCTTGACACTGTGGCAGCTCCAGAAGTTCTTGGTCCAGAGAAGTACGACAGATCCTGTGACATGTGGTCCCTGGGCGTCATCATGTATATTCTGTGAGTCAAATCATTGTGAAGTTTTTTTGCATCATGCAATCAGACATTGTTCACTTTGAGGCTTCGAGAAATGATTGTTGCTTCTAATTATATTCTTCTCTGTTATACACAGACTTTGTGGATATCCTCCCTTTTTCTCACACCATGGTCTGGCAATATCCCCAGGAATGAAAAGACGGATCCGTAACGGACAATATGATTTCCCCAACGCAGAGTGGTGCGATGTGTCTGAGGAAGGTGAGAGAGGCGAATGTGTCATGCTCAATGCTCCTTCCCTTTCTGTTTCACTCTCCATGCATTCTCGTCTACTTGAATTAAGCATTTCCCCTGCGAAGACGCGCCATACTTTCCCTTTTTTTAGCATTTACAAGCACTCTACCCTTTTCCAAAAGTGGTAAAACCATTTTTAATATGGGGATAAACAGTATGAACAGAAAGCTTTCAGTTACTCACGTCACAACAAATCCAGAAGCACAGCGGCAGAGCAATAATAGTTAATAGTTAATAATAGATTTTATGAATTATACAGTACATTGCAAAGGCATTCAGATTAATTTAGTTTGACGTTCATGTAAATGATGTCATAGGAATGGAGGCTTTGGAGAATTGGTCACACATAATTGCAGTTACTGCATGACATATTAGTGAGATGATGATGATGATGATGATGATTTCCTGTTTCAGCCAAACATCTAATCTGTCACTTACTGAAAACCGAGCCCACCCAGAGAATGAACATCACCGACTTCATAAACCATCCCTGGATCAATGTGAGCGGCCGCCCGGAAGCTTGAATCTGTTTGAGCAACTGCTGCTTTTGAGAGATGTTTTGTGGGATTTGATGGACACTCATTCATGTTCTCTCACCAATGCAGCAGTCTGTGGAGGTCCCACAGACGCCTCTTCACACCAGCCGCGTGCTGCAGGAGGAGCAAGAGGTCTGGGAGAAGGTTAAGGTAAGTGTCGGTGCTGCTTCTTTAAATGCACAGAATCGGCTCCTGGTTGATTTTCATCTATTGCAGAATCAGGAGTGGGTTTGCGGGTGAATGTTTGATAGTATTGTTTATTTTTAAATATTCCGTGATAATATTTTATGATCGTTTCCGTCGCCACACAATGGAATCCATACAGTTTTAACTTAAAACTGGATGTGCGGCTTTTGTTCTATGCTGTGTTTGATAAAAGTGATATTGTTATTGTGATTATCAGGAGGAAATGACAAACGCCTTGCAAACGATGAGAGTGGACTATGAGCAAATAAAAATCAAAACCATCGATGACTCAACTAATCCTCTACTGTTGAAGAGAAGAAAGAAAAGTAAAAACGCTGCCACACAACTTCCAGGCTTGTGAAGTACAGCCTGTGTAAGAGGTATTCAGTTTCACACAGACACATGCACAACAATTAGTTGGGAAAAAAGCTTTCAAGGCGAACTTTAGGGATGTTTTGCATTGTCAAGTGGCTCTAATACCTTTATAGTATATTTTGAACGGTTTTAATTTATTTCTGTTTACCTTAAATTATGTTATTTTAAAACTTATAAAGCATCGATAAGCGTTTTTAGAAATGTGCTTTAAGGACTTTCTATGCATTGAAAAGTATTCTGTGTGTGCATCAATGCATATTCATAAATCCTCTCAAAGAGGAAACAGAAATCTGCTGTATTTTTATTAGTTTAAGGTTCATGTTTGGCATCAACTGACGTGTTTTCTGCCTCTTGTGTTTTTCTGCTCTCAGCGTAAGAAACCGTTGAGAATGACTTGTTTTGCCTCGAGGGCGTTGTTAAGATAGTTTGCTCGCATTGATTCATTTTGTCAATTGAATGACTATTACCAGAAACCACATCTTGTGTTTGTGATGCTAGTATTTCTAATTGTGGGTGTGCAGTATCTAAAACGTATTGACCATATGTAGCGCTTATCAAGCTTGCTGTGCTCATGAGACAGAAACTGAGTCTTGTAGCTTGTTTAGCATTAAAGCAGTAACTTAAATAAATAAAAGTGGACAGTAGACTTTTAGAGGACGACAAGAGGTGGAAAATGTCACTATTGTCTGTCTTTTGCTCTGGATTAAATCTTTTGATATTCTCTGTGGTTTTGCGTGTTGTTTGACCAGTTAGCAGTTCACTGTTGGCATGAAGTCAAATAAATGTCCAGCAGCTCAATTAAAGGAAGTTTTTTCTGGCATGTAAATGCAAATCAAATCAAATTACAGCAAAATTTCAGAGAGAAGACTCGGATATTCTCTGAGATTTAAGTGTTATACTCACAAAATTTACAGGAACAAAACTTGTATTTTTTCTGAGATTATAAAGTGAAGAGATTAAAGACACAAATTTATGTGAAAAAGAAACTCATCGCAAGGTTGAATCAACCTCATTGCAACACAGACGCCTCTGTTAAAACACTGGTAATGTAAGTTCTTGAGTGCAAAATCTCTTAATTATATTAGTACATATTTATGTTAATAAAAGAACGCAGAAAGCATCTTAAAATTGATAAAAATGTTACCATGCTCTTGTTGTGATGACGTGAAGTGACACGCTTGATATGAAGCAAGCTTTATGGCAGTCCATCCAACTGTTTATGAAGAAATATATATATATATATATTATGCATGAATATTTATTTTGGTCAATACAGCTGACTGTGGCATAACACATATTTATTTTCTCTCCTTTTTTGCCATGTTGTTTTTTCCTCATTTATTTTGGAAAGTGGTCCTTGGAAATTTTTTGACCAATCCGAGAAGTGAGCCTCAAGTTACAAAAGGTAGAGAACCGCTGCCTTAATTATGTTAAGCCCCAGTATTTTCCTGAAGATGGATACGTGCTCTTTGATCTTTTCATTTTTAAAGAATTCCCAAGCAACAAATACCCAAATACTTTTTAAAGCATCATATATTTTTATGAATACAGTCAACTCCATTTATAGTTTTCCAAGAAATCCATTCTTCTGGTTCTGGTTTTACCTTACGCTACAACCCACAACAGCAGAATTCCTCTGGGTTAAACGTTTATTGTCTGTAGTCATATAATTGGGATTATGTAGGCTTTTGAGGCTTTAGTTGGATCCGTGAATATATGACACCCACACCGAATGTTTTGAATTAAACATGTTGCTTCAATTATAAGACAATATTTCCAGCTTTTGCATCCTGTTTTCATTCAGACTGTCTTTGTGGTGCACTCATAGAGACACACACACACGCACGCACGCACACACACACACACACACACAGACTGAACGCAAAGCTGTCCTGTCAGAAAAACGATATTTGTGCCTGTGGATAATAGGGAGATTTAAACATTGTTTGATCTTAACTGAATGATACATCTGACTTTAAAGGGACATTGTTTTCCTGGAAACATTTTCATTTCTCTTCTGATTACTGCTACTTCGGATACATTTGTGAGGAAGGATACAGTACCACAGAAGGGCATGTCTGGCTTCTTAAATATAGGATCATGTAAGATCGGGAAACAAAATTGCATCTACTGGTTTGATTAAGGGTAGTTTTTGGTCAAAGAGTGTTGTGCTGTAACTGAAATCCTGCCAAGGCCTTTGTGCAAAACAGTGCCATCTGGGTATCCTCAGGTCCACTCATGTAATTATTTAGTGATTAAGGTCAATCACGTGATGACAGAAAGTTGTAATGAACGACTATTTTCAAATCAGAGGGGAAGGACATCTCTCTGCAGGCGCCAGCAAAAAAACATACCTTTACTTTCTGCACAGTTAGAACACTGTAATTATCAAAAGTATAGTGAGTACCAGGACAAGAGGCAGAAGGAAAAATATGTTTACGGAGGATGATTGTGGACAAGTGACGGAGCTTGTCATACTTTGTTCATGTTCAAACATCCAGTGAATAATGAACAAAAGCATGCTGCAACTTCAGAGTCAGGTTTTAACTAAGCGGAATTGTTTTATATGAGAAGAAACGTAGAGCCAGTTACAGTGTCTGGTTCGTTAAATTGCCTATACCATAAGCCCCCCCCCCCCCCACCCTCTCCATAACCTCCACGCTGCTGCAATAAACAGCAAGCCACACTTAAGAGTGGCTGTCGTAATGATAAGGCATGACAAGGTGAGGGAAAACAAGGCCGTTAAAAAGGAGATGTCTGCACTGGTTTACAGATGGGATTGATATTGTTATGGCTGGAGGTGATATGTTGCAGTGCAGGTTTTCCATGAATGTACAGTATGTCGTCTAATGAGAGTGGTGTCTGAGGCCGGGGCTGCAGCTACGTAGAGAAGGGTGGGGGGGGGGCGGTATTTATTCTATACCAGCAACATATTCCACTCAGTCGGAGAAAAACACAGGCGACGTGAGGAAGGGAGGAGGCATCGCGTCTGACCAACCAACCAGTAGGTATATTGTACCTGCTGTACATTTAAAAAGTGGAGCAGAGAGAAGTAGATCCGTCTTAAATGAGCATAATTCAGTATTAGTACTTTTACTTTTTCTGCAGGCATCATGTGGACCGTGATGTTCCTCCTCGCTATGGGAGTAGTGGATCTGAGCATCAGCCAGCATTACAGCCAGCTCCAGTGGCTGTCCCATCTGCGTGGGCGGCTGCAGCACACCGGCTGGCGGGCCGAGGATGTGGATTGCCCCCTGGAGTGCGATTGCCCCTCAAGCTTCCCTACGGCTATGTACTGTCACATGGCATCCAGGATGGGGTGTTTGACAACGCCACCAACTTAGTCTGGGTCGTGCTGTTTCACAACCAGCTGAACTCAGACAAGATCAGCGAGAGCGTCTTTAGCAAGCTCAAGCACCTGGACCGGCTCCTCTTGGATCACAATGAGCTCACACGTGTGCTCCCCAACTTGCCGAAGTCCATCACAGACCTGCGACTTGGGCACAACAACATCTCGAAAGTCCTCTCCAACTCGTTCGAGGGGATGGTCAACCTCGCCACCCTTCAGCTCCGAGCAAATGTCCTAGAGGACGTTGGAGGTGTGTTCAAGGACCTGAAGTCTCTGACCCTGCTAGATTTGAAGAAAAACCGGCTGAGGGAAATCCCTGGCAACCTCCCTGAGAGTCTGCAGCAGCTCTACCTGGAGTTTAACAACATAGAGAGTGTGCCGACGGGCTTTCTCACCATGAATCCCAATCTGCAGTTTGTCCGCTTGGCTCATAACAAGCTGACAGATAAAGGACTTCCATTCAATGTCTTCAACATCAGCACGCTGGTTGAGCTTGACCTTTCTTTCAATAAACTGGAGAAGATCCCCGTTGTCAAGTAGGAACCTGGAGAACCTTTATTTACATGCCAATAAGATCAAAGGTATGGACACTTCTCTGTTACTATGAAATGTAATATAAAGGTAAAGTAGTGATCCTAAATGTATTCAAGGATTTAATGTTGCTTGTGTGGGTTTGAATTGTTCAGACATGCAACAGTTCACCCACGTTGTTTCTAGATGTGTTATTTATTACATGGAAGCTCAACATTCTAACACGTAATAACATATTTTCTGTAGTTCTTGGAGAGTTTGGTTTGTTGCACCGCGCCCAACGATAGTTAAATGAACTGATTTTAATTTAAAAAGCTATCTAAATGTGTTCAAGAATTCACATTGACAAAAAGCGTAAAAATAAACGTCACATCATCAGGTAGAGGCCAGGTGTCAATCTCCGGTTCTGCAAAGTGAAGCCAATGCTAAAAATGCCTTAAAGCTGCATTCTCTCTAGTGTCCATCAGGGGGCGACTCCTCTGGTTGTATAGAAGTCTATGAGAAAATGACTCTACTTCTCTCTTGATTTATTACCTCAGTAAACATTGTAAACATGAGTTTATGGTCTCAATCTCTAGTTTCAAGTCTTCTTCAATACAGCATGATGTTCATTTAGTACATTATGTTTTTTTCCTAATTTATTTGGGAAGGTGACCAATAGAATTCTTTATACAATCAGAACAGGGCCTAAAGCAGGGCTAAGACTATGGGAGCTTTTGTGGCAATTTAACCCCGATTCACCCTCCGCGACAATTGGAGGGGAATTCCGGTCCAGGGTCTCGGTCGGTATCAATATTTAGCCCAAATTATCAGGTAATGTGTGGGGGTAACAGATCCAGTCTTAAACCTCCCTAGCCTCATCGGGCCCCCCAATAGTAACAAACATGTTTGATATTTCGGAGTTAAAATCTGGATGATAACATCAGTAATTCCCAAGCGGTACCATAATAGCCAGTGAAAGAGCAACGGTAAAAGATCTAGCCCTTGGGGCTAATGTTAGCTAGCATACTGCTGTTGACAGACATTGAAACAGACAGTTAAAATCTCTACTACGCTGTACACTGCATCTCTGGCCTTAATCAAGAAATTCCAATTGGGCCGTAGCCACCCGCAAAGACGCTAAAAGATAAAGGACTTACATTTCTAAGAACAGAAAACAAAGCAGTAGTTTCAACGCTCTCATATCAGCTCCTCGTATTCACCAATCCTTCTACAGCAGGTCTCTTCCGGATGACGTCATCACGCACACCAAACACTGCACCATCAGCCCACTTGTTCAAGGGACAACTCACCCATATCCTCGAGCTCAAAGACCGCTGTGATGGGCCGACCGATTCTCTCACAGAATACGTTCCTTTGAGTTGATGCATGTTAACCGGGCGGCAACCTGCGGTTTTATAAAGTGAAGCCAATGCGGACGTGCTTGAAGTTATTGTTGATACATGTCCTTCAAGTTTTCAGAATTGTGTGCATAGTTCAGTTTTTGTGTGTATATGCAATGAAGAAAAACATTGAATACAGCATGTTTTTCCCCCCAGGAATGTCACCACAAACACCTTCTTCACAATACTGCAAATATATAAAGATTTATTTAAATGTAATTCTTCAAGATTGCCACTTTAACTGAAAAAAGTTGAGAACCCCTGGCCTAAATTATGTTATGTTATGTTATCTGTATTGTATTTGTGTACATACATTCAAATATTTGAAAAAATCACCACTCTCAGAAAACACACAAATATGTTTTAAGGTAGCACATTTTTTTGGTTACAGTCCACATCATCTGTATAGTGAAATCCATTCTTAAAAAGGAACAAAGACGTCTTTATTTCTCAAGGGAACTTAGGAAGAACAAAAATCCCAGCAAAGTGCCCTGACTGGAAACATTACAAACTGGCATGAGATGTGCACGGCATAGGACAGGAGGGCTTACAGGGGATTAAAACTGTCCAGCACATCAAAGGTACCCATCTACTGAGTATCAGGGATATTGGTGACAAGAGGTGCCTGCGCAGAGCCGAACGGATATTAAAAGAAAATACCCACCCATTCACAGTTAGTCACTGTCTTGCAAGAGACGCAGAAATATCACCCTTCACAGCAGCTTCTTTCCTCAAGCTGGGAAACTCTTAAATCCATAGATTTGTTTGTGTGTTTTTCTTGTGTTGCAATGAAAATAAATGAAACCTTGAACCTATACAAAAAGGTTGAGAACCACCGGACTTGAGCATGTAGCCTCCCTTAATAGTTCTCTCCTCTCGTGCCTTTCAGAGTTCTCCCTGAGCAGCTTCTGCGGTCCAGTCGACATGACAAACTTCTCCAGGCTGAGAATGCTGCGTTTGGAATCCAATGAGATCAGTGCCAAAGACATTCCTGCCGAGGCTGCCTACTGTTTGCGGCGTGTTGCGTTTATTGATGTGTAGCGCTGCTTGCTCTGTCTCGCACTCTCTCAACTCACGCAGGGTGTTGCTCCATCTGAAACACCCCCCCCGTTGCTATATTTACCATACATTATGTCATAGTCCACTCCGTCAAAACACGTTTGAGATAACGTGTAGTGAAACTGTTGTGAGAGCTACTATTGTTATTCAGAATGATTAAACAGTTCCAGTATTAGTCAACAAATACCCGAGCTGTATAATCACGTATCCAGATGACCAATGGGAAAGGGCTTAATCCTTTTTACATTGCCGTTGTAGTATCCTGGCAAGAATAAAACTACGCATAAATATGATTTAAACGGTGCAAACAAGGTCTGCTTGCGCCCTGTCTGGCAAAATATGACCTGTATAAAACTTCCTGCCATCAGTGTGAGAGTCAGTCTTTGCTTCCACCATGTGGCACAAAAGTGATAAAACAGCAGGTTGAGCAGCACTGATTTTCATTACAGTGTTGATATTTGGCCACACCATCATATCATCACTAACTGAACTGTTACATTTATACAATGTTTTTCCATCAACATTTAAAGTTGTGTGATCAAGTGTTTACAAAAAGGTGAAAAACATGTATTCCTCCTCAAATGAGCCTCTGAATTACATAAGGTAATCATATAAGATAATCATACAGTATATTGGTCTCAAGACTGTAATAACTATCTAAGAACTGTATTTGTTTGAGCCAACGTGTACTGCTCTGTTTATCAAAGACAAATATGAACATGACAGTCAGTCAGCTGACGTCAGGATTGGGATGTGAAAGCTATGAATCATACATTTTTGTCATCTTTGTATCTTTTACTACATCTGAGAAAAAATGAATTAATCCGTTTCCAGAGTTATTTGTGCCCCTAACGTTTGTCAGTTATATACTTTCTGAAGCAACAACATGTTCTGTTGTCTCTAATTTGAAGGTGAAAGAAGGAGATTGGGTGAGAGAAGAAGGGAAGAAGGGCGGCAGCCCTCTTGACGAACCGGTCTAAGGCAGTTCCTTCTTTGTTATTGTTGAAGACAACTTGCACAGCTCATCTTGCACAGCTGCTTTTAATCCTCTGCAGAAAGGCACCTAATCTCATTACAGAAATATTTTTCTTGTTTTGTGCAGAAGTAAAGTCTTTGATTGTGAAATGGAGCACTGCCAACGCAACAGTGATTTGCACACTAATAAGTGGTGGCGTGTGAAATAAAATGATTTATAGATGATTATTTAACAACAAGCGGTTCTGCACTGGTTGTTGGGGAGAGCGGTGTTGCTGTTTTCTCACTCCTTCACTTCCTACACAGACTCTCTGAAAACAAAACAGAGGCCAGCACTCACGCACTCGTGGGATTCTTTCGACAGGATTAACGGATGTGGTTCTCCACTCATGCGCTTCAGAGGATGGGGAGTTGTCCAACTCTTGTCAAACTCAAGATGTTATGCAATTTACTATTCTAACCCCTGCTGTCTCAAATAGCTGCGTCTATTGCACTCACTTGATGTTAAACTAAATACATAATACATTTACATAATGCATAACATGAAAAAATTGCAATTTTATAATTCCTGTTTAAGTTTTGACCAATTTGCATTTAAAAGGACAGTTAAATTATAATTCCTGTTAATTTTAAAGATCTCTCACCAAGTTCTTTGTGCAATTTGTTATTCTAACAATAAATAACGGTATTATCCTGTTATTTGCCACGACCATGAGGTATGTGCAGCATGCATACGAGTAGGTCTTACTGCGTTATTCCCACCAGCTCTTGTTGCGACGCCCTGTGCAGTTACGACACATCCTTCGACCGGTGTGTATGTATCGGTGTAGAATCTCTGTAAAAACAGCTCCGAGTGTTTTAGCATCAACACAATATTCTCCAGAGTTCATGTTCTGAAACAATACTGTTTTGTTGTTATTGGTCATAACTTTCAGAAGTTGGCGCATGAAGACCGCATGGAGACAGCAGGAAAAGACATTTTGAAAGAGTTTTGACTCATAAAGTGTTAAGTCAAACAGGATGTGGGCAATTAGGGAGCCCAATTCCTTTAACGAGGTCGGATCTGCTCTTTAGATGTAACCTCATTGTGCTCGTATATGAATGTACCGGTAGCTGGAAAGCTGGAGAGAGATTTATATTTTGGATTTGATATCGATGGAAGCTTTATTATCAATACAGTGGTTGAATAGAGTCAAACTAATAAATAACTTGTGGAAATGTTTGGCAAACAACATAACAAACAGTTGGTTAAGTGGTAGCAAATGGACACACACGGTTCAACATACATAACTAGTGTAAAAATATAACACTTTTTTTTAGTGGAAAAGATATCTGCAATACATAACGCACAAACATCATATACATACCATATTATTCAGAATGAGGCCCATCTTTGCTCTCAGTCAAAGCTTCTGATTAAAACAGTGAGCGTGGTACATTACAAAAAAACAACACAGATATGAAAACTTGTTCACGATGGAAAGAATGTGCAGCTTGTCGAGGGCTCCGTCTGCTGCTGTGGCGATGTGCTCTCTGCGGCCCGCGGAGCGACAGAATTACTGAAAATACAAAGAGTGTGACGATGGATGTGCACTGCAGTCACTGACGTTGACACAGTTGTTAATCATGTGCCAGCTCCAGCTGCTGTAGCTCTTTGATATAAGTGGGAAAGATACTCACATTATTGTGGCTCCATCTCTATATCCTGTTGGTCTCTGTGTGGGTCCAGATGGCGAAGGAATGCATTAGGATGACGTCAATGAACATGGAAAGACTGATCATTTTGAACTGAATGAGTTGTTCTTACCTTGAGTTCGTATATGATCTTGATCTGTGAGGGTTGTGAGTTATCTGTTTTGGAAAGGAAATACTTTCGTAAAACAAGTATTCACTAAATACATTTCTTGGAACTAAATATTTTGAAATAAAATATTTTGCCAACAAAAAGCTAGAGTTCTGACTTATGACTGGGTTGTGTGTGAAGATTGAGACGTAATAAACTGTATTTTGGCTGAAATTTGTCACAGTTGGAACATGCTGAGAACACAAAATGACAGGGCGATGCTGCTGGAAGTAGAAACACTTTTATGGGTGGTTCAATATTTCATTATCCACCAAGCAAGGCTGTTATTATTGAAATCCACTGATGAGATTCCAAGCACAGTGTTATTCTCCTTCACTGAGGAAACAATATATTTTTAGACACCTTTAAAGTTTGCAGCAGCTGAGCTCTTCACAGTCAATGAATGAAAGTTTTGGGTTATGTGTCACTTTAAAGTCCTTCGCAAGCACATGCTTATGTTACCGCCCCCCCCTGCAGACAAAGCAAACAGAACCTCTTCTCCTGGATGGTAACGCAACGTACATCACGGCTCACTTTCTAGAAAAGTTCTAGTCTTTTGTATTTTCAGTGTCACATTTTATGATTTATTTTGATATTTAAAAAAAAACGTCTTTATTAGATTTTCATTGTTAAAAGCAAATATACAATAAATACAAAGGTCACCAGGATTTACTGCCCCCCCCCCCCCCCCCCCGCCCCCCCATCTCAACCTCTGGCTTAGAGGTTGAGATATTATTAATATGGAAATATTAATAATAGGGGAGTACAATATAAATATCAAGAAAAAAGAGTTGCAAAGGCACTTATATATATACAATAATCAGTGTATAAAATAAATATAGGATTGAAATGAAGCAAAAATAAATAATAATGACAGAAAGGTAAAATAAAAAAGAGAGAAATAAATGTAAACGTTATCTGGACGGTTTTCAATTCTCAATGCTGGGAAACTGCACTAGTGATGGGAATTCCAGATGTTTTGAGTATTAAAAAGAGACATATGTTTGGCTCCTATTGTGACCTTAAAGCAATTATAGGTGTCCTTCCAGTGAAGCTTTGATTTTAGCACTACCACATTGCCCTGAAGGTGGGCATGTGGACAGAGCTTGCATGTGACACAGAAAGTGTACAGCCAAGCTGTAAACTCTCACAGCTGTCACTCATCTTGTTTCAACTTATACAAGTGTTTGACCGTCTTTGCAGTGATACGTTAAACTAAATGGAGTACTTGACTTGGGCAGATTTGTTTTCACACATCCATCCGTTATCTGGAACCGCTGGGCTCTGCTAACCGGAGCTGATCCCAGCTGACATTGGGCGAGAGGCAGGATACCGGCGTTTAGATCACCAGACTATCTCAGGGCTGTAAGCTGTTCACAATCACACCTTCAGTCAAGTTAGAGTCAACAATTAACCTGAGCGGCGTGTCTTTAAACCCACGCTGACACGGGGAGAACACGCAAACTCCAAGCCGGCGTTAACCCTCCTGCTGAGGTTAGGGTGCAAACCACTGTGCTCCCATTGGAATTAATCGCCGTGATGTCAAACATTGGTTTGTGGACTACGGTTTTGAAGCTTCAGGTGCAGCACTTTGGCCGTTGCTATATTGCTTTTTTGCAACCAGAAGTGACACGAGAGGGTGGAGCTAAGTACAACCGGAAGCTGAATAATGTCATTTCAGCATTGGCGTCACTGTCCAGACCCCGAGGTTGCCCCTTACTTTTTGCAAGTATCCTGGGAAAACATAATAGACCAGCTGTAAACTGTGATCACACAGCTGATTCAGCTGAGAACCATTATACCAGCTAATAAAGTTAACGTAGCATATCTCCAAACCCAGGCTTCTTAAATAAATACAACTGACTCAAACATGAGGATAGTTGTTTCATACCCAATAGTCTCAAACAGAAATGCATCTGTCTCAAGTGATGGGTCATTGCCGATGCTGTCCACTTCCTCATGCAGCATTTTAAGCCCTTGCATCCATCTGTTCTCAACACTGAACACACGGGTGATGTTAATTAAAGTCAGAGAGGGTTCAGCGCTTCAAGCTTAGGATTTAAGTGGCACCTGGCAGGGCAACAGATACCCACGCACTGTGGTGAACAGCAGGCGAGAGAGGACATGAAGTGAGCGGCAACAGGAGAAGACAATGGCTAGCAGACGAAGACAAAGGTTCCACAAGTGGAGAGTTAAAAAATACATCAAGCCCTTTATTGCAAAAGGCCCATTTTACAGCAGCCACTTTGACACGCCACAGCAGAGTGAACATAACTGATCAAAGTAATTATGATCCCATTCTATTTAGTTTGACACATAAATGCTGTTGTTTCCATTCAACCAAACTGCACTAAAGGCGTTTTCTCCTGCATTACGTTCGCAGTTTGAAACATGTGGTTAACTTTGTTAAATTTAAACAAAACAGAACAAAACCTACGAAACTACTTGGTTAGGTCCAATCGATGAAACAAAACAAACATGCAAAAAATGTACTCGGTTATATTTTGCCAACAAAAGTATTTGGTTCACTCGAGACTCAAAAAACAGTCTCCTGGGTGAAAGTCTTGTGCTTTTTTAACCAATCACCTCTCAGACCTCTTCCCTACATGGACTTCCGTGGACTCATTTTCGGCAGAAATGTGTACGGTTTAGTGGCATCTAGTGGTGTGGCCGCAGATTGCAACCAACTGAACACCCCTCCGCTCATCCTTCCCTTTCCAAGCGTGTAGAGAACTACGGTGGCCTTGAAGTAACAAAAAAAGTCCCTCGCTACAGCCAGTGTTTGGTTTGTCCAATCTGGGCTACTGTAGAAACATGGTGGTGCAACATGACTGACTCCGCGAGGAGCACCGGCTCCAGATATAAAGATGATTACACACTAATGAAAACCCTGAACCCTCAAGGACTTACTTACGTCACCTGGTAAGTGGTTGGGTGTGAGAGACTGTGAGGGCTTGAAATGGTGTAAATAGGAATGGGACAGCACTTTGCTGCAACATATCAAGTTAGTATGACGACAAAAAATAATTTTATACTTTTTCCCCCGTGATTTTAAAGTCTTCAGGCTCTTTCCTCACAAGATGAGAAGTAACTTCATATAATCTATTTACTCATTTTTGTCAAAACAGCTTCAATGACTAAATCAAGTGTTTGATGAATAAATAAATAAATATCTTCTGATTTCAAGGTTTTTTTTGCTCCATCTTTAACCCTTAATGTTTCTGAGTAAATCTAATACTCCAGTCTGAACACACGTGTGCCATCCTCTTTGTTTACCATTTTTTTTCGTCTCCATGCGTCCACATGGTTACCCAGTGTTTAACATCCCATTGCAATGATTTGTGGGTAATTCCATTAGGCTAAGTCAGCATCTAATGCTGATTTACAGAGCGTGTTCATAAAGGGCTCAAAAGGTCTGCCAGAGAGCCCTCAAACACTCGATGATTTGACAGTGGGACAGAAATAAACCCTCACAGACTTTGTGGGAGTGCGCCTCAAAGTCCGTGAGTCCGTCAGGGTGGAGATCGGGATTGGGCCTATGTTCCATTTCTTAATCCTACACACTGCTCCTTTAAAGTGTATATTTGTGTTTAATCAAAAGCAAATGCAATGCATGACAAAATACGTTTTCCTTGAAAAACATATGGGAAGGTCATTTTTAGAAGACAGAGCAAGTCACAGCCGTTCCAGTGAGCCCTGGTCCGTGAAAAGGGCCTATTTGTCAAAGTCTGGCTTCACGCCCTCTGACTAAAGGGAAGATTGGATTATGTTGCATCTTGTCTAGATCTGTAGAGGATTTTGGGATTTTTGTTTCATGTCATTCATTCCGGTTCAGTGTTTTCCTGATTTTGTTCTGTGAGTTCGCTCTTTGTGTGTCGATTGTCTGCCCCCCCCCGCTATGATTACTTTCACCTGTGTCATCTCTTGTCAGCCCTGCAGACGCCTCACCGCCTGCTCACCTGTTCCCACTTCCCCACTCAGTCAGTCCCTATTCATAGCTTTTCTGTTCCTTTGTTTTTTGTCGGTTTATCTTTCCTGTTACGTGGAGTTCAGTTTGCTTGTGGCCTACACCCGCCCGTATACCTGCCTGCTTTTGGACAAGTTCTTCTAAAAGGAACTCATTTACTGTGCACATATGCCTGCCTGGTCTGCATTTGGGTCCTTCCCCCGCTGCCTGCAATGTCTGTGCATTCACTACCAGCTATTGCATCATCTCTCCTACTGCTGCGTGTATTATGTCAGATGTGAATGTATCTCTTCCCCCTTCCTCGTGTAATTTAATAAACTGCAGAGTTTGCGGAGTCTATTTTTGGAGCCATATGTTTGTCATTAATTCACCAAAAAGAAAGTGTCTCATCAAACCTTCCCTACAGTTCTGGTGTAATGTGAATTGAAATCCACCATAAGCCACTGGTGCCTTCCTGTGTGCAGTTTGCATGTTCTTGCAGGTACTGCAGTTATATCCCACACCACAACACATGCATGTTAGCCAGTAGCAATTACAAAAGAATTAAAAATGAGTCCGCAAGCTGTGGCTGCCCATTGCTTATATATATATATCTGGTCCAGAAGCAGATTTTGCCACACGGATCAATACAATATAGGTTATTTAACTTTCAAAGTAAACAAAGAAAGAGAGACACAATATCGTCTCCCACCTAAACTCCCTGTCTCTCATAATAAAAATCATCATTACCTCGGCCTTCGATTTAAACTTCAAACGTCACATCAAATCAATCACTTAGTCTGCTTGCTACCATCTAAAGAAATATTGCAGGAGCAAGAGGAATAATGTGCAAGCAAGATGTAGAAAAGCTTACCCACGCCCATTATCTCCAGTAGATTTGGATGATTGCAATGGTCTGTTCACATCAATAAAAACTCTAAGTAACTCCTATTTATTCTGAACGCCGCTGCCAGAATTCTGACGAAAACCAGAAAAAGAATACGACCACATTACACCAGTTCTACAATCCTTTCACTGGCTACCAGCCACTCCCATAATTTACTTTATCTTGCAGCTTGTTTATAGATCCCTCTGTGTCTCTGGGCCCAAATACATCTATGATCACGCTCGTGCCTGTGAGCCCCCTAGAACTCTTAGGACATTTAAGCCTATAGCCTTCTGGTTGTCACAAGAGTTGGACCAAAACACGGCGAAGCAGCATTCTGTTATCACAGACCTGGAATAACGGATCTGACCAAGAACGGCTTCACTTTGGAATGTTGTTTCCTCTGGAGACTAGGAATTGTTTCTCTCATGCTTCTGAACGCTTAGCTAAATCCAGTAGTATCCCTGACTTATTTTCCACTCCACTGATGCATATCATCGTGGCTCAATAACTCAGTGTGTGTTAGGTGTGTGTGCGTGGTCAGGGTGTGGTTGAAGAGGAGAGAGAAGGGCCGCTCAGGGCAGACAGGTGTTTTCCGATTGGTGCAGAGGGAAAGATTGGCAGTGACAGTAACAGTAAGTGCACAGTGTAAGTTAAAGGTTTTTACCATGAATAAACACTGCAAACATTCTCCTAAAAAACAAAGAGGTTCCTGACACTTGCTCCCCAGCTGCTGGGCACAGTGCCTCTTTACTGGGCATCTACCTCGCGTATTGTCAAACAAAATTGACGTGTAAATAAAAGCGTTTGTTTTTTTTATTAACCATAAAATTGCGGGTTGTATTTATTCAATCAAACATTACAGCAGTGGTCGTTGCAGACACACCTGGTGTAGTTAAAATTTTGTTCTAGTATAATTAATTGTGCATCTATGTGAGTATTTTCTGTGTTCTTGTGTCTTTTCATTTTCACTGCATTAGTTTACTTTTAAATATTTGTGTACTTTTGCACTTTTAAAATTGTAAGTCTTTAGCCTTTGCTGTATTGTATGACCCTGTAAAGCACATTAAACTGCCCTGGTGTATTACATGGGCTATAGAAATGAAGTTGCCTTGCCTCGCTCCATTTTACTATTATTTGAAACAGATGCCAAAAAGGCCTGAAGAGGAAAAAGAGCATAAATGCACTCATTTCTACATGCATACTTGTTTGCACATGCTGCTGCAGAATAGCAGCCCTCCTCTCAGTAGGTTCAGTCTCCACCTAACTTTGTTGTGGTTAGTATTTACCAGCCAGGAGGGAGGGCTGGTCCTCTGTAATGACTAAACCATTCCCAGATTCTCAGATCGTATGACTTCTTTACAGCTTGTGAGGAGCTACAGTGGGTACGGAAAGTATTCAGACCCCTTTAAATTTTTCACTC